GCTAGACTAGCAGCTAGACCGCAATTCCCGGAGGTTGGACTTACACCAGGCATGGATGCGTCGCCGAGGCTCCGTCATGAACTTCTCCTCTACTGCTGCCGTCTCTGTGACAAAGTTCCTAGGCCAATGACGACGCATGGGATCTCCAGCAGGATGCGCTCACTGGCCGCTCTACGAACAAATGACCTTCACTCCCTGGTTCGGATTTCCACGTAACCTGAAACCTCAGTAGCTCGCAGCTGCCCAACTTGAGCCCAAACAAGGAACTGACGCACAGCCTCGCACATGACCCCGACCAACCTTGGCTGATCTTCAAGGCTTGACTCACCAATACCGAGTAGCATGTCAGGACTTTATAGGGGCTTTGGGTTGTTGAAAGCACACAGCAGTCAAAACCATGCCCAAGTATCAACCCTCAGCATCTTAGGAACATGTTGAGATGATGCTCCAGTCACCCTGGCAGCAATGGCAACTATGCTCGTCAAAACTGTGCATAGAATTGACCAAGTTCATGGCAAACAACAGCAGTACTATAACCCCAATATATGTATACTATGGTACTGTAGTAGTTTCCATGTTCTTTTCCATTATCCCTATATGTAACCCCAATATATAGTCATCTCAAGCAGCCAGGCAGCATGTTCAGAAGAAGCAATGAGGATATGAAGGCGCAAGCCATGAACCTGGGGTGTTGAAGAGTTGAGGTTTAGGGTTTAGGGTTTAGAGTTTAGGGCTTTTTCTAAGCTGTAGGCTCGGCATCAGCTTCAAGAGTGACTCTAAGATCTACCTACTGCCTCCAGTACTACCTTGTCTTCAATTGAAGATGTTACGGGGCCGGCATTGCCACATCAATAGGTACGAAGGTAGCACCAATTGTCAGCATTCTTCCATAGATCTCACAATCCTTTGCCATCACACTGGGGACCTCTGCTTTGAAAGACACCCAAGGTGCATGACAGCAGGTATCTCCGACAGCTGACCTGAGCTGTTGGGCTTAGTTTTGGGGTCTCTAAATTCAAGGGTCATATTTGAATACAGATAACTTTATATCGACCATATTTCGCAGGTACCCAACATTTCCGTCCTCCCTGCTTTACTGGCCGTTCTGTGGGCTTCAGAAGGCAGACTAGACGTGGAGGCATTCAGTCCTCTTACAGAATCCCCACATGCAATGGCCTGCCACTTCAGGAACTGGCCTCGTCAATCTGGACTGATGGGCTCTGAAATTATGCGGCCAAACGCGAACAAATTCCTGACCCTGTTTGCAGACTTGCAAGCCATTCAAGTGGCCGAGCACAAGGGACGGAGAGTCGAGCAAAGTGCTGTGCATGAGCAAGGTATACATGGACCTCCTTGGTATGGCAGAAGATGCTCGGAGCTCCTTTGGCACTTGGCATATCTTGGCATGAAGGGTTGCAGCATCTCCTGGACACTCTCATGCCTGTCTACGTAGCCTGCTTTGACGCAACCAGCTGGCGTCCTGGAGTCAAGCAAAAGCGTTCCATGCGCACATCAAATCATGGTGGCTCAAAGTTCATCATCCTACCTGGGCATGCTTTTGCAAAACACGCCCCCGTTGCTGCAGCCGAGCTGCGGCACAGTGTTGAAGTAGACAGCGCCACCTGCTTCCAGAGGTGAAGAAGATCTGTATTGTAAGGGAGCTCCATCTACGGGAGACCTCACTTTGTTTCCTTGAGGCTCTAGAGGTACACCACATTCTACACACGAGTCCCCTCAGACATCCTCCGACCTTGAGGGCTTCCCTAAGCAAGATGATGCAGGCTTTGCACATTTCCTTCCCTATCAGAAACTACATGACTCCTGAGTTCCCTTTCAACTTCGACAGGCGCCTTGGCTATCTTCAGCCAGCTGCATCAGAACCACTCCGAAAACGTACAGCGTGCAGAAGAGCCTGGGTCAACAAAGGAACTGGCCTCTGGAGGATGCTTCAATTGGCATGGCGACTCGGTGAGCTTCGAGCTTCACTGCTTCAAGCGTGACTTTGCACCCTGGAGGGTCTTGGGAGGCTCCGTCTCAAAACAGCTTTCATATTGCGGAGAAGCAGCAGGCAGGCGGTGACCAGGACAGATCTGAGACACGCCACCATCCCCTTCACGACTATCCTTGGCATGCACAAGATCAGTGTCGATTCACACGAACAAAAAGTCGATGCATTACCGGAAACATTGCAAAAGGCCTACGCCTACGCCGACATCTACGCACGGAGGCCTGCACAGAACCACGGGGCATTTGGTTATGCCTACATAAAGTTGCGCGGCTTTCGGCCTTTGCGCTGTACCCTCTGAAACGTCTTACTCATCCTGCTTTGACTTCGGCTGCATCAAGCTAGAGCGCACGTGGCGTCAGTCAAAACTGCAACTCCCTGGCTCGAGAGCAAGCTTCACCGAATGTCAACCAACGGAAACATCTGCCTGCGTTCCTCTCACTCATTTGCGGGCTACTTGTATCTGTTCCTCTGCTAAGTTACCTGCAGCGTGCCTTCGAGGCCTATACGCTCTATCACGAAAATCTCAGCTCCCAATTAATCACTAAGATGCCATGCATGGAAGTCTTTACTTTCCTTCCCTTGCTGTAACTGCATTCCTTGACCGAGGGGCATTAGCTCGGGCACGAGCTGCAGCACCCGTGCTGTCCTGGTCGGATCTGTGGTAGGACAGAATAACAAGTAGAGGCGTCTCAAGAAGCCTTATTGGTTCTTAGTAGAGAATATGGGATTTGTAAGGATTTTATTCACTTTAACTTGTTCCCTAATTAGAGCCAGTAAGTAGCAGTCTTGGAAACGAGTTGCAAGACTGCGGATCCTCAGATCATCCCAAGGAACCACTGAATTAAATCCCCAAACAAAAGGACTGGTGAATCTCATCAACTGGAACTTCCGGACTTCGAAACCCTGTGCCCCAACGTCCTGAATCCCCACAATTATCTGAAGGCTGCTGGGGCCTACGCGCCTCGAAGACGCTCCAACGCTAATCCAAGACGCATAATGGTAAGAGGAAAAAGGCGGCAGCAGTATTCGAACAAACCAGATAGGAGCCACGAA